AAAAAAAAAAAAAAACTAATTTTTTGTCAGCAAATCTAACAGAATTTTTTTGTTTTTATCCTTTGAAACTTCATGTTGAAGTACAGTGATCGAGTAACACCTTTAAAACGGATGTATTCGACCTATTCTGTCTGTTTTTTCGTAATCAAATTAATCAACAAATCAACGATACTAATTGCAACATTGTTCTCTCGTTTTTTTTTTTTTTTTTTTACGTTTTTTTACGGTTTTTTTTGATGTTTTAGTGGTATAACAGTCTTTAAAATGCTATATTTAAGCGATAAATTTAAACTGCTTTACTGTTAGATAACGAAATTCTGTTAGATAAATTTCTACTCCAAATTTTTTTAGCGGTAATAACCGACTAACAGCTCAAAAGATAAAGTATATTGAAAAAAAAAGAATTTTTTTTTTAAAATTAATTATTAAATTAATAGTCGTATTTCACTGTATATTAAAAGCGGTTTTCAGTTTATCTGCTTCTTAGAACAATTCAATACAGATTCACCAATATTAATTACAGTTTCAGCACATAATCTTTAAATTTCAAATTACTGCCGGCTGAGGTTAATTCACTTTTGTTTACTCATTTTAGAACCTAACGACAGTATCTGCCTAGAAAAAAAAAAATGACAGTTTTACATAAGTGTTCATGTATAAATGTTTTAGTTTTTGTTTCAGTTTTTTAAATTTTTTTTTTACTTTTTAGAAATTTTGCAAAAAATAATTACTGTAGATGATAAATTCTAAGTTGTCCAAGTTCTATAATGAAATCAAAAAATGTTCTTGAAGAATTCAATAAAAAAATATGTATATTTGTTGTTGGATGTTGACAATCACTGAATCTTGCTTGATCTTCTATCCCAGTAGACTACTGATCGCTTTCCTTTGAACTGCTCGTTTGGGTACACAGATAAACGATATCAGCGCTTCTGCTGTGAACTGTCAACTGAACACTGTTCAACAGACTGCACATAGTTTTCAACTTAAGATTCTTTTTATCAAACAATATTTGCATCTTTTTACAGATGGTGAAATCGACTTTTTTCAAGCCCAAATTTGTACCACCCGTTATCTGAATCAAAAAAAATAAATAAATAAATAACTTCCAAATTAAAAGTATAATTTAAACAGATTTTTTTTTCAATTTCTATTTACTCTCACCTATTTAAATGTGATGTAATTTTGATAGGAAACGTAATCACTGAATTAATTTTTTTTTTTTTGCTAAAATACTTTCTCAATGTCAATTTTTGGCAACATTTTTTTTTCAAAATGACAATTGAACACACGAAGAATAATTCTGTACAAATAAAAAAAAAAAGACTTTTTTACATTTTTTTTTTTTTTAATTTGATTATGAAATGAATAAAGTTGCCAAATTAAGCATAAATTTGTTTAATAAAATAGTAAAGTATCAAAATGTCACCCCATTTTCTTTTTTGTAGTTACCTGCTTTTTTGCTGCTTTATTTGATGTTTTCAGTTGACCTGTTGCTATGTTTTCGCCAACCAATATTCGTCTAATTGAAACTGCGATACAATTTTTTTGCTACAAAAAAAAACAATCTAAAAAAATTTTTCATTAATTGTCTTCCACAATTGTTTCAAAAAAAAAATTTTTTTTTTGTTTTCAACTAATTTTTTTGTTTAAAGAATATCAATCAAAAAAAAATAATTAGAAAAAAAAACACTGCTACAGTAGTCTAAACAAAGTAAAAAAATTTT